GAAACAAATAGCTGTAGAAATAGAATATTAAACAAATTCCAAGTCCATAGGAAAGCAAAGTATTCAGTAGTAAAAAAACTCCTGAAATTCTTGTGAGCTTTAATTAAAAGAATAAAACTAAACTCTGATTAACACCCAGAAAAAGTTGCTTTTGAACATTTTTGCTTTTCAATCCTCAATAAAGATCCTCATTTGAAGAAAATTTGAGTCAGTAAGCACAGAGAAACTACTAAAGCAAATGTAGCTCTAATGTATTTGGCTGAATTCTTCCCAACTGTTATGATATTTGTCAGAAAAGCCCTCCTAGCTGAGAAAAAGAAGGGAAAAGTGATGTGGGAAGAAAAGTTCTTGGAATTTTTTTTTGCTGGAAAAGAAATAAAAAATTTTGGAAATATAGCAAGAGTAGACAATTCATCAGAGAAGCCTTAGACAAGAAGTTAGAGTGCTAAGGGACTTGGGGAACTCTGGGCTATGTGGAGATGACATTGTCCTCATCACTTGAATACCAGTCAAAAATTTTAGACAGCAGTTGACCTTATTCTTCCTTTTTGGACAGATGATGCTTTCCAAATGATGCTGGTGGTGCTGCCAGTAGATGAATTTATAGATATTCAGTGGACAGATAAAACTTGCCCAAGCTCAGCCCCGGTGATCTGTCAGAGCATAGTGCAGAAAAATGGCTATTGATGCTTTTCCTTTCCCCTCTCAGAACATTCACTCAGAACATCTTTCTGCTAATCCTTCTCTGGAGTGAAGCTCAATTCTTTTTTCTGCTGTTTTCGTAGGTCCCTCTTCACCACTGTTTCATTGTCTATAGGGGGCAGTTTTCTATATGAGGGACAAGATAGTGTCTCATCAACCCCCTGGTGTGATGTATTTCTTACTTTCCATTTCCATCCTGCACTTTGGTTGCTTCTGCCAAGATTTGTTTTCTTTCCTTTCACCACATCAGACATGCCCAGTATGTCTGTAGGTACTGCTGGTCCTCTTGATTTGAGAATCAAATGGCTTCTCAGCTGTCATCTGGGCACTTCTTTATTATTTTCCTTTATAAAATATTTTCTGAAAGCTGAGAAAAATGAGCAGAAAATAGAATAGTAATTATCAGATAAAGTCTAGCTCAGCAAGATACTTTTTTTCCCCAAGGGTAACATGTAGGAAGGTGTAAGATAATGAATATTGAGCAGAGTTTTCTTAACACATGGCTGTAGAGCAATGTTGGGAAGGCTAACTTTGGGAGAAACAAAAACCTTATGAATGCAGTGGTTTTTCTTCACTTTTTTTGGGGAATATTTCTCCAGAAATGCCTATGTTATATTCATTTTGGGCGGCCCACACTTAGTCCCCATGCAAATTGTTGTGGCCTATTTTTGCATGAGTCGAGCCAGGACTGGGGTCCTGCTCACTTTTTCTCTTATATTGAAGTGCCTAATCTTATTTTCTTTGTTTCATTTTAAAGCACCAGTCTGTGTAATGATATCTGTGTTTACTTTGATAACAAGAAGTTAGTAGGTTCTTAACACTTCCCTATATCTTACTTTTTTTTGGAAAAGTTCAGACCTTTTAATAATCATTTATGAATGCAAGTGGGGCAAACATTCTAAGATATTCTTAAATTGTACAAAAATACAGAGTAGAAAAGTTTAAAAATAGAATAAAATACAAAGAACACAATGTAGAAATTTTGGGAGATTTAGGAAATGACACATTTCAATGCAAAATGTAGCAATTTGCAATTACAATTTATTCTAATTGTATTCCAGGTACTCTATATTTATTACTTGCCTAAGGAAATCTGATGTCTCTCTTTTTGGCTGCAATCTTTAACACTGCAGCATTTATATGTATTTATTTATTTATTTATTTATTCACACAAAAATCGGTGGGTTTTCTTTTTCTGACAACTGCTTGAAAGTTATACATAGACTTGAAACAGTACTGGATATGTAGTTGCATCATGCCCAAAGAAATTTGTAGTGTTTAGAACTGGCCTGATTCTAATGCTGTGGAATTACACAGAAAGAGTCTCAGTCAGCTAGGAACAAGGTCATAGATGAGCTTTGATGAGTTGATTTATCAGTGAATAATAATAATAATAATTTTTTTCCACACTAATGTCAATGGTTTGATATATATAATATCAATGGGTTTTTTGTTTGCTTTGTCCAGCTTTTGCTATCATTTTGTGTGTATTCCACCCTTCCCCCCAAGAGACTTTTTTAGTATGGAATAATATTTTGTTAAATCAGAAGATCTTTTACTGTATAAGCACTCACTATGATCTGAGAAAGACATCTGGACAATCAGTGCAGAGTCCTTATATCTGGAAATAGAGCTAATTAAATTAAATTAGGATTGCATCCCTGTAGAGACTTTTAGGAGCATTGGGTAAAAAGAAGTGAGGTGTAGTACTGGATGTGTGGGAGGACAGTGAGGATGGGAACTGGACAGGTGATTGTGCACAGATCATTGGAATTCATTCATTGTATTACAATGTCTGTTCATTGTATTAGAACATTTTCTGTGGTAAGATAAGTGGATGGTGTTTTCTCTTTAAAGGATTAATCTTTTTATTTATGTATATGTGTGTGTATATATGTGTGTGTTTCTTCATGTGGGATGCAGAGAGGCCAGCAATATTTAAATATTGAATAAATCTACCTACAGTGTAAGCTGTGGTGAATCTTCTCGAAAAATAGCTAATTGAATGATATTTTCAGGATTTTCAACAAGTGTTAATTTATAGATGTAAACAGTGCATTGAGGGGAGTTAGAATAACCCATCAAACAGTATTGATACTACTGAAAAAATCCAAATAAATCTCTAGCTTGTCTCCACAAGCATCCTTGTTTTCACTGCTTTTCTGTTTAATCCTCCAGTTTTCTCGGGGATACATTTTCTGGAAATATGTTTCAGTTCTTTAAATTATTAATGTCATTAAAAATTATAATTTTCTGTCATTACCTCTAGGAAAATAGAGATTGTAATGTGAAACATAATTGTCTCATTTTGCGATTTGTGTTACGATAGTTGAGCACAACTAAAGCAGATTTAAGTATTCCCCTGAGCAATATGACGTGGTAGTGCAAACTAACTGAAGTTCTGTGTGTGCAGATAAATAAACAGATAAACTAATTCCACAATTTGACCAATATTTGTGTTTCTGAGACATCTTTGAAAGGCTGTGCATCGCTTAGAGGGGACACAAAGTGTTTGTGGTGAGAGCTGAACTGAAGGTTTGGATGATGTACGATTATTTTATTTTTGGTTTTCAGCCATTTGGTCTGAGTGTGCCTGCCAAGGGATGCAGCCTAGCAGGTTATAAGTTAAAGCTATGCCATCAAATTGTCACTCCCTCAGATTTCAGCCTAGAGGTGTGTTTTAACACCCCTCAGATCCACAGAGGAGAAATCCTGGGGAGTCTGTAGAGCTTGAGGGTCTGCTACATTGTCTCCTTGTAAGGCTAGAAAATGCTGCCCAGCATTTTTTATTAAGCCTCAAAATCTTTGTCTTCCATAAGAATATTTTCTTTTCTGGTTTACAGTTTTCATGCCACACCAGTTGGTCTGTCATTAATGCAATGAATTTCACCTTCTGCAAAGTTAAAAATCCATGTTCCTACGATAAAAAGGGAAATTGGCAAAGAAGAGCTAAATTGAGCCAAGGTACAATACTAGTCAACCATAGCAAGTAATTATTATAACCCCATGGTCATTTCACTCACAGCTTGACAGAGAAAATGGCAAGAAAACAAAATAATTTTTTGTTGAATGTTAAATGTCCAAGGCCAGGCTCACTTCTGCTGATGATGCATCACAAGGTGTGGGCCCTGTTGACCAAGTACCTGCAGCAACACGAGGAATTTGCAGCCCCCTGAGCTGCCAGGGGCTGAGAGAGCCCTGTGCAGGCTGGGCACTGGGCTGGCCCAGCTGTGCAGCCAGGGCAGTGCAGATGTGCTGGGGACCGGCTGATGTGATCTGCAGGTGCTGCTGGTGGCCCTGGTGAGGAGCTGGGATGTACAGCAGGTGCCTGGGGGGTGAGTGCAGGCAGCAGTTAGATCTGTGATTCTCTGTGCCTTTCCTCCCAGTGAACTCCTGCCAGGACAAAAACATCACAAGCTGCCCCTTTGTTATGATTTCAGGAGTAGCTAAGCATGTGATTTTCAAACTGGGGTAAAAAGCGAGGTTTTGCTTTTGTTTCTTTCTTTAAACACAAAATGTGTAAAGCATGGAGTGGAGCTGGCTTCAGCCTCCCTATAAGATGCAGGCCCAGGATGGATTAGGAGACTGGGGTATGTGAAGGTCTGCAGAGAAGCTTTAGAAATTGTGAAGCCTGGAAAGAAAAGCAGTCTGTCCTTGAGATCTCCTTATGTCTTCTCCCAAATTATTCTTGTGCACAAAGTGATGTTCCTAAATATGTCAGACCCCTCCATAAAGTTTCTTCTATTTTTTTATTACCTAGTACAGACAACCTCAAAAGACTTCCTTGAGTCATTATCAGGATTAGTCTGCAGAAATGATCTACTGTACTTATGGGAAAAGTGCTTTCTTGTAATGTTGTTCACAGGTGAAAGAGCCATATTTCCTAAAGACTGTTATGTTTTTCGATTGTTATTTTGTCCTGAGGATATAGTGAGGTTCTAGTCTGTCAAACAAAAGGTCTTTCTATATAAATTTCATTTCAAGGCTTTTTGGTTTTTTTAAGAAATCTATTGAGTCCATTTTGCTGCTTTCCTTTGAGGAGATATATCTGTAAAATTCTAGTATTGCCAAGATGGATAGTACTGTGTTAGGCTATTTTCTTTTGTTTAAGATGTTGTATAAAAAAATAGCATTATTGTTATTAAACACAAAATAACATTTGGTGTAGACTAAGCATGTGAATCTGTAAAATATTTCTCCTATTGCCTTTTAAAAAAATCTTTTAGCTAATAATGAAAGAAATACATACAATATCAGGACAAACATATGTTTTTAAATGACTGTGTCTTCATTCACAGGAAATCACTGATAATGAAATACTAGAGTTGGTGCATAGTGCTCTGGGGAGGATGACAGTTATCCGGCAGATTTTCCCTCTGGCAAGGGACAACAACCAGAGGTGCATGAGAAACAACCACCGAATATCATCCCTGCTGTGTGATCCACAGGAAGGCTATCTTCAGATGCTGCAGGTCAGTAACTGTGCACAGCAGAAAAAAATCCATCTTAAGAATTTTCCATGGGACAGTTTTCTGTGGCTGTATTAACTCAGAGGAGGAAGGAAATGAGTACAGATAAATCTGATCTGGTCAATGTTTCTTGACGTTATTAATTTATTTTATTTCCCAATGCTGAGTGATTTAGGTGTGATGTTATGTCCATGAAGTACCAGCAAGTGGTTGCATAACTCGGAGCTGATTTTGCATATTTCATTCTCTTAAGAGTCTTTTTATATTTGAGAAGATTGTGCCGTCATAGGCCTGTGGTATTACTGCTTGTTTATTTTATTTATGCTTGTTAGACATCTGTTGTGAAAGAGTTAATCTGGGAGGATAATAGAACTCTGATAGGTATTGGGCTGCAGAGCATTTAATATTTATGTAATGGACTGAATCAAGCTGATGTATTCAGTCTGTCCCTTTTCAATAGTCTCAGAAATCTCCAGGAGCTGCTAATTGTCTGAATGTGTAAAATATGCACTGCTAGCTCAAGTTTCAGGTTTTGGTAACACATCTGACTCTGGTGTTAGCAACATCTTGACATTTCTTGGCAATTTCTCCCAGATATCAGATTTTTTCTTCCAGTAACATAAATATTATTTAATAGGTGCTATTTCCATTGATAGTGCAATAATTCAGAAACAAAGGCCTTGGACTTTCAATGGGACTTGTGTATTTTGGTTTATTTTAGACACAGTTAAAAATCTCATTTGTATCACTATTGAAGGTGTTGGATATAGCTATAAACTGCAATGAGACCTAGAATATAAACTCACTTAAAACCATTTAATTGCAAACTTAGTTTTAAACTAAGATGGGTTGAGTGAGGTGGGCTGTCAGTGGTTGAGCCTGTGGGCTGCCTAGTGTGGGTGTGAGTGGTGGAGTGATGGTGAAGGGGCTTGGTTAGTCCTGGGGAGGAGCTGTCACCAGCCAAGGCTGGTCAGGAGGATATGTGGGGTCAGGACTCCTGCAAGATGGAATCCTGTCCTGGCTTGGAAGAGTTTCAGTCGAGGCGAGACAGGGAGAGTGTCAGGAAGGGAAGTGGATTAAGATTTCCCAAGCTGTAGGGGTGTTAATTTTACTTATTTGCACCCTACTAAAAGGTTGTAGCTGCAGAGAGTGAAATCCTTTAAGGGGCAGATATGAACAGTTCCTCCTTGAAGAGAAGCTCTGCTGTCTCAGGTTCTGCCTAGCCATAGCAAAGTTTGGGAAAAGCCAAACACACCCCTTGTAGCTCTGAGCGTGGCTGTATTCTTTCTGCACAGGGGAAAGTCAGTGTCTGTCTTGGCTGAGAAAGAAAAGACACTTTTGATCTTTATTAGTAACTGAGGTATGCTGTAATGAGAACAAAGGCTGCTCATTTCAGAGGATCAAAGCAATTTCCAGTATGATGAAAAATTATCTATGCTGCACCAACAAATCACTCACTGGGGAATAATCTTCCATTACAGCAGGATTTTGAGTATTGCTGCCTATGCTGGTTTATGCATAATCTAATTCAGAGACTCATCTGAAGGACTATGACAGGCCAGTGAGCAAGCTCTAATTTGCAAATTTGCAAACTGGTAACTGGGAGCTGGTTTGCTAACACCAGCAGCCTCATGTCCTGTTACTAAATTTCATTGATAAGGATCTTTTGATAAGGATCATCTTCATGCTGGTTTCCAGATGTGGATTTTGGGAAATAAAAAATTCTCACTTTCTATCTTCCAGAAATATTATACCACCTTAGAAACTGTCTTTGAGAGAATGGTATGGTAATGTTATGCTTTTCCCATTAGTTCCTTCTCTGTGAACTTAAAAACAAGAAAGATAAAGAAATGCAGAGGTAAAATATTTTTGGCAGCTGATTCCGTAACTTTCATGTCCAATTGCATTGGCATGAAAGAGGGCACATGTGAGAGCTCTCCAAATTAACTGTCCCCAGTATATTTTTAAGTGTCTGTAGATTGAATACAGGATGATTTTGTCATGTGCAATTATACCTGAAGTGTTCCATAGCTGCATTTATTTTTCATAGGTTTTGCCAAAATATCTTATGTAACACCTTGTGGACATACAGCTCACATTAATTTAAGTGTGACTGACATATTATTAATGGTCCTGTAATTCAGGTACTTGCAATTTTCTTCTTCCTTTTCCCTGCTTAAAAAAAATAGTGGTGACCTTTTGCTGTACAGAAGTACATAACTGAATTACCCCTGCTGCCAGAGGCTAGAGGAGCTCCAAGCTCCATGTCAGGCTGCATGAATCCACCAGAGGCACTGACCGCCTGCCAGCACTGAGTCTTTGTGTTCCTTTGAAGTACTTTGATTAACACCACAGTTTGGAAATCCCTGCCTCATTCTCCCTTGGGCAGTCTCATATTAATAATTGTTTGTTGTCAAGGTAACTTACCAGCTATTGTTGGTTAATTATTTATTTCATGACTTTGAAGAAGAATAAGCTAATCTCTGTCAACGTCTAGCTGTAGTATTTTTCTAGGGGAGAATTTAGCACTTTTAGCAAGCTAGTGAAGAAAGAAACATTTACGTCATGGATTATTAACTTTGTTCTGGTGAAATTAATGAAAATCTTTTTGGAACAATTTTGTTCTCTGTGTCTTTAGTACTATATCCTGGAAGGTTGTTTTTCAGTGGGTGATCATCCCGGTTTGGCATTCTGACAAGCCTTTTAAAGATCAGGCTGTTCTGCAAGCTCATCCAAAAACTCATCTGTTCTGAATGCTTTGTGGAAATCCAATCTTATTCTATCAACCCACTTGTCAAAATTTTGCTCACACCCTTATTTCTTGCACGTATAATATACTCCTCTGGGTTTCTGCTTCAAGTGGAAAAAAAGCTTTATAAAGTTTCCTGTCTTGACCATTTTATTTGACATCAGAGGAGTGCATTTCTCTCTGTCTATTCTTCAGGTAGGATTTTTTTGTGTCCATCTCATTTACTTTTTCTAAAGGGAAAAGACACAACTTAGAACTTGCTTTCTTCCATTTGTCATTGGTATCCTGTGGTTTGGGCCATCATTGTTGTCAGTGTTGCCTCATCTGGAGAGAAAGCACTGAAACACTTCAGGATTTGTAGTCCTAGCCAGACCTAGTATGTATCCTCACATGGCATTTGAATGGTATTTAGTCATATAATTGCTATTAAACTTGTTAGATTATTTCAGAATTTTTCTTACAGAATCAATTTGAAAAACTTCTGCTGCATAATTTGCTTCTTTCCGAAATATTTCTCTTGAAGTATTAGTTTTGATGGCACTCTAAAAACTTGATTTTTGATGAAGGTATTTTTTTCATTGATGAGGTTATTCACAATGCATTCATAAATTCAAAATCTGATTTTTTTTATTTATGTTTTTTTTAAGAAAGATTTCTCTTTAGAAATGTAATTACCATTAGTTTATTTTTGCCTTTGCTTAACATTTATGTAGTTGATGAGTTCAATCCATGTAAGATTCTAAAGATATTAAAATATATTACAGGGACACAGTGTATCTGAAATCATTTAACAAGACCCAAAATACATAGTAGAATTGAAAAGGCAAAAAGAAAAAAATCACAAAATTCATGAGGTTATTCCTGATTGAGAGTCCAATCTCTCTTCTGAGGAACTATTCCAGGCATTGCTTGGACATATTTGAGGAGATGTTGAGAAGTGTGGGAGGGAATTCATTGAAAGAGCTGATCTTCTCCTTGAGTAAAAATTCTGTTCTTCAGTGATATGTCCATCGGATATCTACATAGGCATCTCTTAGCAATTGCTCCTACAAAGCTGGGTTTTTATTTCTGGTCTATTTTCTGTTCAGGACTCACTGCAATTTAACTACTGTAAGTGAAGTTATTTTTTAGGATGTTTGGGTGCCTAAACTTAAGGGCCTGATCCTGCAGTTTTGTCCAACTAAATGGCCTTATTCTCATTTGGCTTGTTAACACTGCTGTAATTACACAACTGTAGCGTGCTACTGAGGAGCAGTAAATATTGATTAAACCCTATTGAAGCATTCACTTTCCCCCATAAAGAACTGATGAGCCACATTTTTCCTTTTCTTTCAATGCAAACCTGTATTTGCTAGTCTCTTTAGCAAAGTTTAATTTGGATTTTTGGCCAGATGTTCAGTCACAGTGAAATTGTTTCTGAGTACAATGTGAATGTAAAGTATCCTTGAACTGACTTTACTGCCCATTGCACAGCACAAATCTCTCCCTGAAGCCCAATGACATGTATTTTCTACAAGGTGTGTTAGCAGAGGAATTCATTAAAAATCCCAAAGCACTGCAGGTGTCTCATGGCCATGGGGGATTTTGTGATCACACTGGAGACTAAAACCCCAGGTAGGCTCTGCAATTATCTTTTCCTCTCTGCCTTTTTTGACTGCTGGATTTCTCTATTTGTATAATTATTTCATTGAATTTTTGTTCACTGCTCAATCAGGAAGCAGACAATAGTGACTCAAAGAAAGCATCAGTACCTCCATCTTTCATTTGTTATTGCCTCTCAAACCTAATTTGTACCTATATTTATTTATAAATGAGGTAGGAAAAAAATTGCAGGCTGTTTTGCAATTCCAGCATTTACCTCGTCCTTCTGTTTGACTCTTGGTTGTGTTCAATTTTCTTTATCAAGGCACTCCTACTAGACTTTCCTTGCATAGTTAGAGTTAGCTGTGCCAAATTCCTGAGATGTTTAGTGAGTGAAGCCAATGCCTCCAGCTAAGGAACTTAAACATGACAGGGTAATCCAGGCCTTGTGTTGTTGCTGACACGTTGTTTCAAAACATACTGGCAAAGAAAAGACTCATAATGATAAATGCCCACAATAAATTGCTGAAGGACAGTGAGCATTCCAAGAACAGAACCTGTAAGAAGGGAAGAGTGTTGTGATATGTGTAACTCAGTAAAAACAGGGGAAAATGAAAAATGAAAGAAGAGCTGCTCATCGATTAAAAGAGATTCTGAGAGTGCAGTCTTACAA